TGCATTGACAATGAGGAAGAAAGGTATTGTTTTCAGTCACAAATAAATATGAGATTTAATTTGGAAATGCATTGCAAATCATTTAGAAAGGTATTGCTAGTGATCAGAAGTGAAATCAAGCAACACTGGTAGAATTACACCATTGTATGTACAGTGGAAGAATTTTTAAATAAACATTTACATTGCATTATTACACAATGCCTGTATATATTGAACATGAATGTACAGGCAAAGAAGAATATTTGCAACATATTTACTGAGCATAATTATTAAGCCTGAATAGTAAAATACAGTAAGCCACTAATTATATATTCATTAAATTATTCAATGACATAGTTAAAATGCAGAAAGTTTAAACAAACTATAAAAATTTATACTATTTACATTGTTTGGACTGTTGTCCCCATCTTTATTACCATATTCACAACATTTTGGTTGTTGTACACTCCAGCCTTCTTCAGGTGATATACACTTGAATTTCAAACTTGTTATGGTAATTTACCCATGTACACATGGACTCTTCCAGCTATAAATAGGAGCAGGTACTGCCTTTTAGAGGAGGGTAGTTTAGCAGTCAGCTCTGATAGTCAGACCGAACATTCTTGTTGTAACACACTTGTTTGTATTACTGTTTTTCTGTTAATATATTTGCTTAAATCAATTCTTCAATTCCACAACAGAACTGAACCTTTTATTTAGTCCATTTATTTTTAGTTCATTTAGGAACTCAAACACTCACCGCCTCGGTAGACTAAATAAAGGGTTCAGTTTGAAATTCAAACAAATATCACAGGTGAATACTTTTGATAAACTGTAAAGAATTTGTGTCCCAGTCTAATGAGCCTTTCTTAAGAGGTTTGTTTTTAATGTGTGCTCACCAAATATAGACTTATTCCAAATTTGGATAAACTAAAAACAACATCCCAGCTGAAAGCCAGGCTTGTGTATGTTAACTTTAAAGGAAGGCAAAATTTCTCAATTTAGAAAACTGACGCCGTACAGTCTTCCAGGCAATCACATTGTTTGCACAGTTCTATTTTTAATTTTTTTGAATCATTTTACAACATTTTAAAAAGTTGGAAAAAAGATTTTGGCTAAACAAAAAATAAAATACATATATGTCTGAAGATTGAGTGAAGTATGAAACTGACAGTTACCATGCTGTGTTAATTCCTATGTCCATTGATATTGAGCACTCTTCTTCTATAAATATAGCAATTGTTTATTTTATTTTAAACATTATTCGTCTTATTAACATATTCATTATGGCTTTGGATATTTGAATTCTTACATAATGTCGTCTTGGTTTTGTTAAAATTACCAATAGAAATTACTACATTATACTATATGTTATAATTTGTTAATATAAAATTTATTAAAATCTAATGATGTTTTAACACTCTAAAGAGTGATACCTTGTTTTTCTCCATAGTACCACCTGATACATTTGGGTGTCATTGTCATTTTTACCAAAAGACATCTTGAAAAACCAAGTAAAAATAGTTGTTGAATGGATGCACATTTTTGACAATGCACATGTTACAGGATACACATATGCATTGTGTGGCAGTAAATGTACTAAAAGAATTAAAACACCTTTCAAGAAAGTGCCTCATAAATATAAAGTTAGAAAAAAATTGTATCAAAATATTTTCTACTGTTACTCATAAATTTTACAATTTTTAAAAAATATATATTTAACAAAAAACAAGCTGGATGAATTAAGAATATTTTAAAATCTGATGATTGCAAAAAAAAGAAAAAAAGAAAAAAGGAAAAAGAAAAAGAAAAGAAAAAGAAAAAAGTAAAAAGAAAAAAGAAAAAAAAGAAAGAAAAAAAAGAAAGAAAAAAAAGAAAGAAAAAAAAGAAAGAAAAAAGAAGAAGAAGAAAGAACCATTTTTTTACCAAACAAGTAGTCTTATTATTATTACACTTAAATGTTATCAAAGAGAAAAGGAGGGGACACCCTTCAGAATCCAGGGAGTCATTAATCATATAAGTGACATTATGTAACAGACTTCCATTTGAGGACAAAATTGCAGGCTTTGGTTTAAAGTATCCGCCCACTGGACCATGAGACACAGTTTCTAGTGTTAATTGTACCAGTGCTTCACATACCAAAATCAGAATAAGATGGCCGGTTAAAAAGAGGCATTCTTTGAGAGATTGAAGTTCCTAAATATTTGTGATTAAGTTTTTATCAACATTTCTCTAAACTTCTGCCTAACTTGTATATTGTAAACACTGATTTTGAATCTCAAAGTAACATTTTGGTTGGCTTATTACTCAACAATCCACGAATTACAAAAATAAAAATTGTTATATAAAATGATCAAGAGTAATTATCATCAACTAAATCTTTAGTAGTATTATATGTTTTTCCATTTGAACTAGTATATTCATATTATTGTTCATGTTTCGATCAGTATACTCTCCAGGCTTTTTTAAGTGCCTGTTGTCTTGGGAACCATCTCTGAATTTTGTACTGAACACTTTATTGAATCTACAGGTGTATATTATTCTCATTCTGCTGTTCATGCTTAGGGGAGATAACTCATATCAATTAATCCTCTCTTGTCTATTTCTCTCTGTTTCATTTGTGCATTTTTTTCCATTCAAACAGAGTACATGATTATAGAGAAAAAAGAATGGTTACCAGCTCCTGTAGAATGAAACCAAGATAGAATAGAGAAAAACACCAGAGGATAAGATGACTGAAAGAATCAGTATGCATGTTAGGCTCTGATAACCTAATCAGTAGACCTAGCATATAGATGAACACCATCTGAGAGCTTATCACTAATATGGTTGAAGAACTGAAGGAAAAAGCAAATAAAGAAAAAAATGACTTAGTGTTGGCACAAAGACTTTGCACATGCATTGAGTGTAAAAAAAATCCAGAGGAAAAAAAAAAAAGATAGCTGTTCATAAAGCAAATATTTAAGAACATTACATTTTCGTAAATACAAGATTTTGCTTGTAACATGCAAGTTTCCAACCGTCGAAAAGTATATAAAAATCGCATTACTGATGGAGGTGGTGAATATATTTAGATCCTATGATCATCACATAGACAAGTGTGGGTTTTCTTGCAGTGGACGAATGGTAAGAGCACAAGAGATCAAGAAAAGAACAAGAAGAAGAGGAAAGAAGAAGAGATTTATTGTTGCCAAAGCGAACATTAAAGAACTGACAAGAAAGACAGGGAAATTGATTCTCTCACAAGTGAACCCAAACTATAATTAATAAAAAAAAGAACACTTCAAAAGTCTATCACATGAGTATAAATATTAGGTTTAAAGATCCAAAATGTAAGGCTCTGGATTCTCCAAGAGATTCATGGCTGAGTGAATTCAAACATTGGTTAAAACATAGATAACTATAGCAAATCTCTTGAAAAAATATTTCTTTACTGGTTTAAAGTTTTAGTTAGATGTATAAAACTAGCTGAAAACTCATTGTATATAAAGACAGGATTTTAAACCTATGCCTGTCAAATAACGAAATGGAGCTTTTATGCCCAATCAGAAATCAGGAATTTGAACTAAATATTTAGCGAATCATACATACCTTACTTGAAAATCATCACTAACACAAACTTTCTGATAACATTTATTCAAAATATCATAGATTTTGTAAAAGATTTTGAGTGCCCATGCTTTATTTAGAATGTAGAGTTATATATATATATGTGTGTGTGTGTGTGTATAAAATAGGAAATAGAATCCTGACAAAGTTTTGAAGAGATTTGACAAATGGAAAACTATTTCATTGTAACTGAATTTGATTACACGTTTCACCTTTCTAGGATTCATCAGATCCAAAAACAAAAGAAAGAAATATACATGTGTGTATGCTGAAATAATAGGCTATTAATATTTTTTTTCAATTAAGCTGGTGTTTCTCATGATGAAAGAAAAGAATGAAAATTAGTGACTTTTAAAATTTGAAAAGATAGAGAATAAATAATAATAATTCTGATGAATCCTAGAAAGGTGAAACATGTAATCAAATTTAGTTTCAATGAAACCATTTTCTATTTGTCTCTCTCTCTCTCTATATATATATATATATATATATATACACACACACACATATATATATATATATATATATATATATATATATATATATATATATATATATATAATATAATGCTTTTAGTAAGGTATTCTCTGATTTATTAGTGTTGTGATGTTTTTCTTAAAGGATAAGGAGAGAGACAACAAACATTTAAAGAAACCATTCACTCACTAAATTTTTGATCTGCAAGAAAAGGGTAGATAATTACATGATTAAAACAATCTCATTATTTTCACAAGGCAATTAAAGATATTTCACTTCAAACATGTTTAGTTCACCCGTGCCATGCAAGCAAATATTTAAAAAAAAAAAAGTTGTTCAGTTAATGAAAAGGAAGAAGGAATTTGCATGCATGTGAGGATGGATTTAATTATATTGACTTTTATTTTTTTAATTACACTAATGGAAATTTTAATTTAGTTTGGAATGGTGTTTGCCTTATTATTGAAACAAAAATTTGTAATTTCCATTGAAGTTATGGCACGTGTGGAACAATTAAGGATCATTAGTATGTTGAAATAAAAATAACTAATTAAAGGAAAAACAGAGAGAAAAGTAATTATTGTTTAATGATTAGAACATTGGGCTAAAAAATAAAAGGTGTACATTTTAATTTTCAATACTTATATTACATTGATTGATTTGTCTTTTATAGTTTATCAACTTTTTTAAGGTTATTTAAAGCCAAAACATATTTTGGGATTGTATGAATTTTTTTTGTTTGAGATAATAATGATTTTCTTATATAAGTCCTACTATTTAACCCATAGCTGGGAGGAAAAGTGGTAGATTCATACCTTTCACAACAGTATTTACATGTAAATGAATATAAAGAACCTGTCTGGAATTCAAACTCAAACCTCTAATTTTTAATTTTGAGCCATTATCCATTACATCATCTGCACATCTAAACTTAAAGCACCTGGTATTCCCAAGTGGTTACCCATCTAGGTACTGATCAGGCTCAATGTTGCTTAACTTTGGTGAACAGATGAGAATTGGTGCTTCAATGTGATACGGTTGTAAGCCTTTCAATAATTACATAATATAGCTTTGTATGACAGAAGGTCAAGAAAAATTGTTACATCAATCTTCTAAAATGAGAAGAGCTTGCCTAGAAAATTTGGCTATATTATATTTTGGCTATGATCTTTTTTTTGCTATTTCAGATTGAAGGAAAGAAAAAAATTGAAACTTAATCAAGGCATTAGCACCTATTTGGCTGCAAAGTTCTTCCCCTGACCCACTTCTTAAAATCTGACCAAATAGTAAAAGGATTTTTTTTTTTAATCCTGTCTTGTTTGGATCAAGAACCATTTAGTTGCCGCTCATATGTATCAAAGAATATTTTAATGATGTAAGATAGTTTTCATTTGGCGTAAATGCTATCATTGTTGAAAAGGCGGGTTTGGTACAATGCCTTTTCTCACTTTAAAAAGATTCCAGTACAGGCATTGTTTACCCCAGATCTTCCAGTGAAGATACTTTGAAGCTTATCCCAATGTGTAACTGCACCTGAAAAAAGGTGTTCAAACTGTTAATGATGGCTGTACAGCCATATCAAAGCAATCAACAAGAACTGAACCATCATCTTTGTATTTCAAACCAATGACCAACACAAACCACTGGCCAACACAAACCACTGGCCAACACAAACCATTATGAATCAACTGTCAAGTGCTTTTTGCAAGCAAGCTTGTTACTCCATAGAGATTAAAAGCCTTCCACTTGATAGTTCCAGTTCATACATATTAGATTCATGAGAGATATAATTATGCTTCAGTCGGGGCCCTTCTTATCTATTTCTGACACCAACAATACATGTGGGCTGATCCCAGCCCTTTTTCACTACACAAACATAATCAAAGTTAATGAGTGTGGGACCCTGGCTGGACTTTTAGGCTACATTCATGCCACAAACAGGTTTTACTGTAGAATGATGTGATATCAAGTGACAGTTATATTCAGAAGTGAGAAAATAGCCATCATATATATCAGGAATATCAAAAAGTTTTGACTCACTTTCAAAAATCTGACAAAATATCAGAATTTATTTTTGAATCTTTTCTTGGCTGAGCTGAGAACTTTTCAGCACCCCTATATGTTAGACCAGTACTAATTTTGAACTTGTTTATCTTATTATATACTGATCTACTTAGACTAGTGTCCTTATCTTGTATCCTGGAAGATAAGTAGAGTGAAAGAATCAGCACATATAATAAGCTCTAATAACTTCCTCAGCATGCCTAACATAAAAATTAATACTATATGGAAGCCTTTAAGAAAATAAAAAACATTCAGCTTTTGATGAATAAATTTCATAACCCTCTTATATTACCGTTCGTCATATACTCTACTTCAGTTGAAGAGACAAACAATATTAAGTTCAAGGCTCCAAACTTCCAGCAACAGATTATTTTATGGGGCACATGGCCTTGTAAATAAAGATATTGATTAAATGAATTGTTTCCTGGAGGTTGTGAGTTAGGAGAATTGGCAAGAGTGGTTGGGCGTACGCAAATTTTTCGTGAGATCAGCTCGGCATAAAAACACCACACGAGTGAGAAAAAGTGACGAGATGCTTGTGAATGTGGTACTGTGCATACGGAGAGACTGTGTCAGTTGGAAAAGTGATTACTTGTGTCAGTTTCACACAAAAACATCAGAGAGAAGAATTTGTAACAGCCCAAAGTGAGTATTGCTATTAATACAAGAAGGTGAAAATCATTCAAGAATGGGAGAATATGATATATAAATTTCTATATATGAGAACAATGATGGGTAATTGAATGACAAAATGGGAAAAATTCTAAGTAATACATTTTGTCCACTAAAAGACTTCATCAGACTGAAGTAATGTTCTGTTTTGATGAAATTATATATATATATATGTAAGGAAGGGGCAGTATAAAGACATATATGTCAGTTATAATTTTACGTACTGAGGGGAAATGCTGAAAATATAGGAACACTGAATTTTAAATTTTAAAATATTCTGGTGTCCAATATGTCGAGATGCACAGCTCAGCCAATCTTGTTTGGTTTGACAACAATTAAGTTTTTGTTAATGTTGTTTTTAAATATCCAACAATCGCAACAGAAGGTTTTTTTAAGGTGAAATTTGAGAACCTGGATGCAAACTTGCCACAGAAGACTCAGAAAACAGAGCACTTTCTATACATTTTTTTCTTAGTAAATTACTTTCTTCTTGAATTAAATCAGCATTTTTTAAAAATATAAATTATGGCCAGATTAATTGCAATGAACAACTAATGCATTGAAGAAAACTAACTTGTTGATCCTAGGTGAGGAGGAGTATTTCACTACTTTTATTATCAATGATTATATATATATATATATATATATATATATATATATATATTACAATATTAAGCTCTACTCTCTTTGTATTGAGCACCTTTTTAAAAAAATAAATTCCAAAGAATTGTGGATTTTTAATCTGATTATTCTTTCTCTTTATATATATATATATATAATACAGGTAATCAATCTGTTGGTATATAATCCAGGAGGATCCTAGTAATAATAATTATTAAAACTGATCCACAGAGAGCTTGATGTTTCTATTTTGACAGAGCATATAAATTTTTTTCAGCAAAAAACACAAAATTACCTAAACATGGAGATAATCTCTATGTGGAGGTAATTTTTTTTTTTTTTGCTGTAATATATATATATATATATATATATATATATATATATATTATAATATTAAGCTCTACTTTGTATTGAGCACTTTTTAAAAAATAAATGCCAAAGAAATGTGGAATTTTTAATCTGACTGTTCTTTCTCTTTATTTATATATATATATATATATATAGACCAACGCTATATAAATTTTTATACATCATGAACAGTTTTGAAGAAAAGATATATGACAATACGGAAAAGGATTTTGTGTGACATGTTTTGTCTCTTAGTACTTCATTGGACTGGGTTTGTTTACATTCATGCAACTACACATAAGCATTTACAAGACTAGGAATATTAAATTTAGAAAAAAATTTTTTTTATGTGTTTTGGGTCTACAATCTAGCCAATTTCATTTAAATTCTTTTTGTTTTTCCTCTTTATTATTAAATATCCCACAATGTGATAACAGAATATGTGCCAAGAATGTTGAAATGTTGTATGAAGCAGGACACACATTTTCTGTGGCTGAACAAGTGAGATTAAAAAACTTTCTAGACATTTTCATCTTAGTGAATTATTTTCTATTTTAATTAGAGTAGCATTTTTAGGTCAAAATTGTGGTCAGTTTTGTTACAGTGAGCAACTACTGCATTTAATGTGTTGTTTCTTAAAATGTCTCTTTTGTATTCATATAATCTTTTATTTAAACTTCTTGAAGTTTCTCCAATATATTATTTCTGGCAATCCTTGACAGTAATAGAGTAAATTCCTCCTTCAAGTTTTGGCTCAGTGTTTTGTTTTGTATTGATTAAGTTTTGTTTTAGATGTAGTTGTAACAATTTTTATGTTGAGTTTAGATAAATTCTTTTCAATTGTAGTTGTGTTAGAGTTAGTAGGTAGAACAATATATTTTTTGATTTGTTGCATTTGTCAGGAGGGGGCTGCTTTTCTACTTTAGAATATTTTATGAGCCTTTTATTTCATAATGAATATGAAATACTTAGGGAATTATATATATATATATATATATATATATATATTTTTTATTTATTTTTACAAGTTTAATATATTAACCTTTTAATCTATTTCCTCAACTGGCTAATAGTGTTTTTATTATGCTACTAACAACTAGAAATGATAACAAATTTTAAAAGAGGATCAACATTTTGATTTTGATCATTTTTACTCCCCAAGTACTTTCTGTCTCTTTCTGAGATCATCATCAGGGTTGCAACTGGTAAAACAAAAACAAGAGATGGAAAGTACTTGGTTTATAAAAGCAATTCTCACTGTTACAGTGCATTTCTTGCCTCGATTGTAATAAACGGAAAAATATTTGTGAATACGAAAGGATTATGATAAAATTTGATTGTAATAAACGGAAAAAATATTTGTGAATACAAAAGGATTATGATAAAAATAAGCAGACATAATGTTTGTAATTTATTCAATCAGACATGGCTAAAACAGAATTTGCTGTCTAAATACACAAATATATATATATATATATATATATATATATATATATATATATATATATACACAAGTATATAATTGGTATATACGGAATGAATTCCAATAACCAACAATTACTATTCTTAAAAGAGTGCTCAATACAAAGTAGAGCAGATATAATTATTATTTATAAAAAAAATTATAACATAAGTATGTTATAAAATCACTACAAAAATAGCCATTTTGTTTCAACACCCTTGGTGTCTTATCAAGTGATGATGTTGAAGATAAAATAAATGGTTTTAAAAGTTTCAGATTAATCAATGCGTTCTGTTATAATCATTTTAGAATTTTAAAATTTATCTGTTGATTAGAAAACTAGAAAGAATCAGTATAAAAATAAGTAGACACAATATGTCTATATTATTCAATGAAACATATATATATATATATATAGTAGGTGTTCATAGGTCTAATATTAGGAGGTGTGAACTTATATAATTATGTTTTGTTCTACCCACTAACTAAAAAAACATAGAAATAGTAATATAAAACTTATATAAGCTCACATCCTAAGTTCACACCTCTTAATATTAGGATATATAAGTTTGCAGTATTAGTATATGTTTGTAATTGATACACAGAGTTTACTAAATATTCTATGTTATTAAATAACACGAAAATCTTAACATTCTAGCACACCGATACCAATATTAGCATTAGTATTTAGCAATTGCTACATTAACACTAAAATGCAAATATGAAAACATGCTTTTTCGATGCTAACCAATTAAACATTTAATGTGGCATTTAGCCTCATTACATATATATATACACAAAAGATTTATACATGTCCCAAAAACAAATAAATGTCCATATTGTCCCAAAGGAACGAGGAGGTTAAACAGGA